CGGCAGCATGGGCGGTCGCCCTCCGCCAGGTCCCGGATACAGAGGGCCACCTCCACCAGGAGACCCACGGGGCATGCAGGGGCCCCCAGGAGGACTCGCACCAGGATCACAGCCTAACGAATTTGGCCGACCGCTGCCAAAGACTTTTCAGCAAAACACCATTGTGCCGAACAAGGGCATGTTGGTGGAGGACGACGACGACGACAGCGCTGCAGACGACGATGATGCTTTCAACCTAGAAGGTGCTGCTGCTCGACGGCGAACGAACAAGAGCGCCAAGAGCATAAGCATGGCGCAGGAGAACATGGTCGCAGAACTACAGAAACAGGTCGGAGAGCTACAAAGCAAGACCACTGCGCTCGAGAACACTTTGCAAGACAAGGACGAGCAGCTGCAAAAGTTAAGAGACGCCGAAGGGCGGAGAGATAGTGTAAGTCTCTTTCAAATGGACGAATCCACCTACTCACACAGAACAGAATACCGAGTCAGAGCGCGCTGAATGGGACGAGCTGAGATCTGAACTTCAGGACAAGGTGGAGAAGGCAGAAAACCTGAACGAATCCCTCCGATTAGAATTGGACAGGATACGAAACGACCACGAAGCAGAGCAAAGGAGTCTCCGCAGCCAAATAGACGACCTCGAATCGAAACCACCACAGCAAGCCTACAACGGTGGAAGCGACGAGTGGAGACAACGTTGCGAGGAGCTGGAGCGCGAATTGAGCGAGCAGCAACAGGTTGCCGAGGAAGTGCGAAGAGACGCCAACACCTTTCTTCAAGAGATGCGAGAACTGTCTGCACGAAGTGACGCCGCCGTTGAGAAAGAAGAACGCCTCGCGAGCCAGGTAGCCTCTTTGGAAGAGGAGCTCAAGGAATGGAAGTCTCGGTACGCACGCTCCAAGACTCAGCTGCGGACTCTGAAGGCTTCATCGATTGGCCTGTCTGGTCTGGCATCCCCAGACATGGCCAACTACACCCGTGACCCCGGCTTTTCGACACCAGACGGCCTGGTCAGAGATGTCCACGTCACTAACTTTCAGCTCGGTATTGACGACCTTCTGCAAAAGGCACGCCGGGTAGATCCTGAGGCAACACTTGAAAGCATGCGCAATGTAGTCAAGTGTGTGCGCGCCATCACTGGAGAAATCGACCAGACACCTCTCTCCCAGATGCAATCACCTACTAGTAGCGTAAGCGGCGATATGCTGTCAAGTCCGGAGAAGCAGCAAGCGAGATTGAAGTCGCGAGTCAGTGCTACTGCCAACAATTTGATCACGGCGGCGAAGAACCATGCTTCTTCGAACGGCTTGTCACCTGTCAGCCTTCTGGACGCTGCTGCGAGCCATCTGTCCACCGCCGTTGTTGAGCTCGTCAAACTCGTCAAGGTGCGCCCCACACCGGCTGACGAGCTGGAGCGCGAGGGCGGGTCAGACCGCAAGGAGATGGAAGACATGCCTATGCCGCTCAAGCCCACGGTTTTTGGTGGCTACAACGCGAACAACAACCAAAGCAACAACACGAACGGCGTCGGCCCAGAGCGTGGCCATCAACGTGGAATGAGCAGCAAAGGCAGCAACGCGACCGGCTACAGTACGTACAGCTCGCCGTACAGCGGCTACGGCCGCGAGAGCTCGGGCTCCATGGGAGCAAACGGCCAGAATGATAGAGGCATGACGGAGTTCAAAGTGAGTTGAGCGGCAGCCGGTTAGGATACACCTAACGATTGCCCAGAACTACCTTGAAGACCAGACCGCACTTTTGGTCCAGAGCATCCAGCCGCTTGTCAATCTCATCCGCTCCAGTCCCGAGTCCACGCCAGCCGAGGAGCAGCAGATATACACCTTCATACAAGACATCTCCCTAGCAGTTGATGATACTGGAGATCGTACCTACGAGGCTGTGAAAAAGCTCAACGATCCCGCTCTGGAGAAGCATGCAATCCCCGTCGTCCAGGTCCTGGACGACTGCAGGCGCGACATGCTGGACATAGATATTCGCAATGGTGGACGTGACCAGATCCCCCCTCTCGCTTTCAAGACGGCGAGAGCCCTGAAGGTATGCTAAGATCAGGTCATTCAGAGTAGGAGTATTCTAACAATTCACAGGAGCTTGTCCTTCGCGTCGACCGCATCGAATCCGGCGAATTGACCGCCGAGCAGACTCTGAAGATGGACCTCTAGACCGCCTCTGTTTGCGCAACGTACCGTACGACCTCACTGTTTTCAGCTTTCCCTCCAGCCTCATGCAAGGCTTTGAATCGGCGTTTATGATCCCCGCGATGGGAAATGGGTTATATAATTTTCTTGTCTTTCTGCAGCCCCTTCACGTTGGATACCAAGACATGGTAGGCTGTTTTATGCGACCATGCGACATCACGGAGGACCTATACCTTACCTTTAACCTATTGCTAGTGTTTGTTGTTGGGTGGGAGACGTGTGGGTGGGGATTGGGGTTGGGATGATGGTATTGCACGGTTTTCAAGGATACCAGCGCATGCATAGGAGCACGTGGCAGCTTTGCGTTTGCTGATAGCGTTGTGTTGCGTTCTTATGCTTGTATCACGAATGTCGACCGAACTTCAAAGCATCATTTCTTCATCTATTCAAACGTGATTGCTGAAACTTCCACCCAGACGCCCGCAACGGGGATGAACGCTCTTTCTCACTCAAGGGCCTCAAGATGGTCTGGCACCGACGAAATGCCAATCTTGTTGAAAGGAGGAAGCCCTACCACGTGGAAGACAAGAAGTGATTGCACAACGTGCACACAATACTGACTGCAGCTAATCGACAAAAGCTTGAGCTCTACATCAGACGGGTGCAGTTTTCTGGGCTGTGGCAGACGACATCGGGAGGAAAGGACTCTCTTGCGCGCCAAAGAAAGCCGCATATAACAAGCTACTTCACAACAAAATTGCTCTACAATTATAGCATTAAACCAAGTTATGAAGGCTACAAGTTAAAAAACCCCTACTTAATTACCTGTCTAGCTTTTTTGTAGTCCTCCAATGCCCTGAAATCATAGTGCGCAGGCCGGTAGAGTTCGACGAGGGAGGTCTCATTTGCCACTATTTTTGACGTGCAAGAGTGACTCCACCTGCACCCCAACTGGGCTGGACACAGCTGTCGGCATTGTTAGTAGTTGGAAATCTGATATATAAGGTTCAGAAATAGCATTTTACTCACCGTACGGCACGTTCTCATGTCGTTGTGTTTGCGGGGACAGGCCGCACGTGTAAATACGCGTTTACTCGTTTACCTTTTCCTGCTTTGCGCTGCTCGTTTGCAGTCAAGCTATTTATCGGCTTTGTTTTGCTCCTCGCCGTGGTCACCTTCACACCACTCACCTCGTACTGTTGCTGCTTGTCGCTGACAACAGGTGAATACTCTCTGCACTAACAGCTCCATCGCCGCCATTAACCTCTTCTCAGCACCCGTATCGCATCCTCCGTCTTGCCAATCTACGTGGCTACCAGACCCAGTACCGCCGCTCATCGTGTTCTTCGCGTAACTGCTCGACGTGACAACGTGTCTACTGCCGCCGTAGCCACGTCGCCACCGCCTCCGCCTATTAGAATCTCATACTGAAACAGCATCATCGCCTGCCGAAGCATTTGTTGAGTGTCCCAGTAGGTGGCTAGTCTCGTAAACAGATATTCCTCCCTCTGGGTACACTCTGACGTGGCTACAATGCTTGCTGCCCTCAACAACGATACGAGGGATGCTGCTGTTGACGAGCTCATTGCTGCTTGGTCGGATCTACAGACTTAGAAGGACACCAGCTCCGAGATCAGCAATATCAGAAATGGCCGCAACAAAGTCGACTGGAACCAGGAATTCCCTGGTGTGGTACTGGAATGAGCAGTACGTCGACGTTCTCGCCCTCGCCTTCTGAAATCTTCTCGTGATTCTACGCCTTTTCATTATGACATTCGCAATATCAGCTACATGCTCTCTCTCTATTCAGGTTACTGATTCGTGGCTACGGGCAATTTCAAGCCATTACGCAGCATCTACTCTTCTAAGAATATTAAACTATCCAAGCTTATTTACAATGTACACTACATTTTCTTTCAGGTGGAATTTCGGTGGCTAAAGGCAGGGTTTCACCATTTGCGCTATTATAATACAAGCACAGGGTATCTATCTCATAATCTATATCCGAATTATGCTTTCTCATACGACCTCCCGTGTGTGACCTATCCTCCTATGATCTTCTACCGATACTGTGTAGCTTGCTTTCCGATCCGCATGTATCAACAGTAAATCCACATCGCTACCTGACTGCGGGGTGTACAACAACACAAACCTTCCTCGGAGAGAGACTATTTTGACAGTACCCAAGGGCACCTTGTGTCAGAATATGGTGTGATGGGGTACGAGGTTAGCGCCGAAGTTTGAGCGAGCAATCTTTTTACTTGCAGCTGCTGTATCGCTATTTATGAGGATGACCTTGAGAGCATAATACATAGAAAACAATAAGACGAGAACACCACAGATCCGCTGCAGGCAAATACGCAATAATCTGTGCGGACGCCCTCCAGAAGCAATATTTAGACCACGGTAGACCATTTGGCGGGATACGGAAAGGACACATGCTGTGCAGCATAACAAGCAAAGAGATCGCTGAGACCTCCTGATCCATTTTTCTCGGATGTGGAATTTACCGGTCAAGAAATTTTCAAGTCATACGGCAGGGGCGAATATGGATGGTCAAGTTGGGAGTTGGTGGCATGCTGAACCAAAATTGATCAAAATACGGCAAGGTTGCCGCAGACGAATATCCCAGTATCCATGTTTAGGCTAGCCAATAGTGATAGCCGAATGAACCAATGCACATATTTTGGCGGTATGACGATCCGCATTATACTTTATATAGTACTGCGTTACATGAAGTACGACGATACTGTGTATATAGTTTTTTTATCTGCACAAAACTCCATCCAATATCCGGACAGATGGGTAAGTTACATAATCATCTCATCCGATCGGACAAATCACTAACATATCATCAGCCGAGCGGTCCAAGGCGCTAGCTTCAGGTGCTAGTAGCGAAAGCTGCGTGGGTTCGAATCCCACTCTGTTCACTATCTTTTTTGCACGTTGAACGAACCCGATAGCTTTTCTGGTCATGGAGACATCGTGATCCGATTGAATTTTTTCGACTGCAGGGCCAGACACGTGCGGTTGACGCTAGTGGGTACTAGTTTGCACTATTGTGGGGTAGCGCTCGGCAACGGAGCAAGTGCTCATGTCGTCCCGTCACACGTCGAACGAGCAGTCGCGCCTGCGCGATGGAGTGTGCTTTCTCTTTTGCGCGCACGGCGTGGCAGAGGCGCCTACTCCCCTCGATGACAATAACAACGAACCGTGGGACGAGATGCCCTACTCGTCCCGATATGGGAACGACCCTTGGCTGAGTCTTGGAAGGAACGGCTCATGCATTCGCGGCTGATCTGGCCCCGAATCATGCTTGATGCCTGTCGTCCTTCAAGACACTCGCTGCTCTCTGGTATTGGCTACATGCTTTGAGCGCAGCACATTCTTACCTTTTGCTCCCGCAGGAGCGGTTTCCCGTCGTTAACTCGTACATCGTTAACTCGTACATCGTTATCCTTACGACGGCTGCTCTCGTTGTCGTATACTGTGCGTGCGACGCCTCGCACTAGTCGAGCCCATGGCAGCTCGCAAGATGTCTTTCAAGCGGCTATGCACGGTCGTGGGTGTCTCTCTGGGCGTCTTCACACTCACTAGGATTGCAGCGCGGACCGCAGACCAGCGCTCCTTTGGTCTGTTTGTGGCGTTCTTCAGGTCTTGCAGCACTGACATTGATACAGACACTCCTGCATCAGTCTATGAGACCAGCAGCCATGAGCCACCCCAGACTGACCTCCATGTTGTTAACAAGTATCTCGTGTCTCCATTTACCACCAGCATCCTTGAAGACCTGCATTGTGCACTCGAGACAATGCAGAGCTCGTACTTTTCGTTATGGTTGGGCAGGTATACCACTGCAATCGACTGGACGGCTGCAGTCATGGCGACCCACGTCTCAGCTACACTCGCCTCGCTCTCGCGTTCGCGTTCCTATACAATGCCGGGCACATTCGACAGGTCTAACAAACTCGATGTCGAGGCGCAGATGATTGAGAATGAGATCAACAAATATTTTGGCCAGATCTCGTCGTACTACTTCGGTGAAGATCATTTCGCGATAAGAATGCAAGCGTACGACGACATCCTTTGGGTTGTGTTGGGTTGGCTTGAGAGTATCCAATCCATCGAGAGTCATTCTGCAGAACACTATTTACTAGATCCAACCATCCCTGATTGGCATGCCCGTCAGTTCATTCCTGCATTTGCCCACCGAGCACGGATCTTTTACGAACTCGCCGAGAAGGGCTGGGACTGGCGTCTTTGCGGCGGCGGCATGACATGGAGCGCACACGAGCTGCCGTATAAGAATGCCATCACGAATCAGCTTTGGATTTCGGCAAGTGTCAGCATGTATCTGCACTTCCCTGGAGACATCAACTGCTCCCCGTTTCTCTCGCAGTACGACAAGATCAAAGACCAGAAGCAGAGGGACCTAACCGGCAAGCTTCTTCGCGCGCAAGAACACGGTAACCAGTGCGGCGAGGAGAACATTGAAGGCGACAGTTCTTACGACCCCATCTACCTGGCTAACGCGATCAATGGCTACGACTGGTTGAAAAACAGTGGCATGATGAATGAGCAAGGCCTCTACGTTGACGGTTTCCATATCGCAGGCTATAGCGCCAACCATAGTAAGACCGTGTGCGACGAGCGCAACGAGATGGTGTACACGTACAACCAAGGTAAGGGATCACAATGGACTCATCACTGATGCATATGTTGATGAAGGTTTAGGCGTGCTTCTCTCGGGCCTCAGAGGCCTATGGGAAGCGACCGGTAAGCAATCGTATCTCGAAGACGGCCATGAGCTTGTACTCAACGTGATCCACGCCACCGGCTGGAACGAGGAGAAGGCATTTGCTGCTGCCACTCGGCAACCTGAAAAGCCAAGCGAGGTCCCGGCTTCGCAACGAGATGTTCTCACGAAATGGTCTGGTCTTGGAGCAGATGGCATTTTGATGGAAGCATGCGACCCGTCTGGCACTTGCAACCAGAACGGTCAGACGTTCAAGGGCATTTTCTTCCACCATCTAACCGCCTTCTGCGAGCCATTGCCATCTGTACCTGCGCGACCAGGCAAGACGTACGCAGCAAGCCCTGACACGCGCGCTCTGCACGCGAGAAGCTGCAAGGAATACGCGAAATGGGTCGAGCACAACGCAAAGGCCGCGTTGCAGACGAGAAACGAGCGAGGCCGTTTCGGCAGCTGGTGGGGCGCTCGCAGCGAGCGCATCCAAGCGAAGCGTCCGGCAAACGCGACGGATTATAGGAACAAGCCCGAAGAGTACATGGCGTGGTTCAAGGAAAAAGCCGAGGGACAGGCGGGCCAGGACGACGAGGACGAGCGGTTGCAGGGTCACGACATGGATGGCGATGGCGACGTGGGTTGCGACGCGAGCAGCCCTTGCGACCTCAACGATCGTGGGCGCGGTCGAACGGTCGAGACGCAGAGCGGCGGTCTCGCCGTGCTGAGGGCTATGTGGGAGTTGTCCAGGCTGGCTGAGAGTGATGTTGATTTCGCACCGTGAGTTTTACGGCCTTTGAGGCCGTGTTGGTATTGATAACAGAATCGAATCAAAGCGGATCGTTATAACGCACACATGATGTCTCCTGCAGTCACAGCATATTGACAGTATCTAGGCGCGCATGGCTCTTTCGTTCTTCGGCATCGAGCATAACGTCGGTATTCTCGGAGCGGAAGCGAGAAGGGGATGAGTGGGTGGGCAGCTTGCCTACTGGAGGTACTGTGGGGTTTCTGGTGGCGCTGGTCATGTTCTTGGGGTGGGTTTGCTACTGGCTTTGAGATTTCTGTGCGTCGAGAGTACGAGGTGAGATGGGCAAAAGGAGCCGGGATAGGCAAAGCGCTTAGTTTGATCCATTTGTTTACTGCTCCTTGACCTCTGGTTTTTACCATCTCCTCTCGTCTCCTCCATCCCCAGGCAGGAAAGCCGTTTCGAGATGGCGCGGCACAAATGTGTCCGAGCCGTGAGTGAAATGTCTCCGAGCAGTGAATGAGAAGGCTCCGTGTGCGAGAGCCGCTGACTGTATCCAGCGCCGGCGCCGGCTCTCATCTACCTAGCCTCGCAAGGGGCAAATGCTGCGTCAGCGCTACTCTGCTGGCGCCTCAGCGGAGAGAAAAGAGCAGATAGTCTACGGAGCAGTATAAGAAAGCAAAGATGGGTCGCGCAAAGGCAGGTTTGTTTCATCAACACACAGCAAGCTTCAATCTGGGGTCCGAGATACGAACCGGGCGTCTCTTCTCTCACCTCACATATACAAACTCTTATCATACCAGTCCGGGCTAAACTGAAGGTTTTCCCAGAACCCCCCCAACCCCCCCCCAAGCAATGTCTTCCTCAGCGACCGCGAAGGAGAGCAAGGCCGCTTCGGCGATCCGCGCCGCCTGGCAGGACGACCCGGACGTGGCGAGGCGGTACGCGATCGCGGAGCGGGCGACTAGGCCGTTCGCGGCGATGATGGTGCAGCTTGCGAGGGAGCTGGCTCCGCCCTCTCTTACTCATAAGGAGGGGGACAGCGTGGACGTGTTCGATCTCGGGTGCGGGACTGGGGCCGTGGAGGCGGAGGTGTACGGGGCGCTGGGGTCGGGGTCGGGTACAGACGGGGTGCGGATCCTGGCGGGCGACGTGAGCGCGCCCATGCTGTCGTACCTGTCCGCGCGCGCGGCAGACGAGGGGTGGGCAGGCGTCGACGTGCAGACGGTCGACGGGACGAGGCTGGCCGACGCGCCCGCGCTGCAGGGGCGGGCCTTCGACGCCGTCTACGTCGGCTTCGCCATCTTCATGCTGCCCCCCGCGGCGCCCGCGCAGCTCGCCGCCCTCCTCAAGCCCCGCGGCTCCCTCGCCGTCTCCTCGTGGGCCATCCTCCCCTGGTTCCCCCTCCTGGCCGAGGCGTACGCCCGCATGCACGACGGCCCGCCGCCGCCCGTGCAGCGCGACGTGTGGAGCGCCGTCACCAACGGCTTGCCCTGGCACGATAAGGCGTTCGTGAGGGAGACGCTGCAGCAAGCCGGGTTGGAGCAGGTGACCGTGCGGCAGGAGAAGGTCAGCGTCGACGTCGGCGATGCCGATACCGTCATGGGCAGTATGGGGTTCGTGTTGGGCATTCTGAGTCAGCAGTGGCCCGAGGAGAAGAGGGAGGCGTGGCTGGCCGATGCCAAGAGGGCGTTTAGGGAGGTGGTGGTGGAGAGCGAGCGGGGAGAAGGGGAGGGGATGGAGTGGGTGTTTGAGGGGATTGTCGGGGTCGGGGTCAAGCCTGAGTAGATGGGTCGGTTTTTTTTTTGTTTCTTTTTTTTTGTCGGTGTGATATGGTGGAAGGCGGACACAGGCTCACGAGGAGTTTGGGGGGAATATTTGTTGGGTATTTTTTTCCCTAGTATGTAAATGCACGATGATTGCCCGAACGCCTTCGCTATGCTTGGGATGGTTTTGTCGCCTCGACTGGGGGCTTCTAGGGACCTTCTACACCTCCTCCGACTGCGTCTCCAGCCACTGTCCAAAGTAGACGCAGGTGCGGGCGGAGATTTCGCCCTCGTCGCCGCACAGGTCGAAGACGGGGCAGTTGCCGCAGGGGGCGTCGACAAAGCCGTTGTACACCTTTGTGTCGGTGGCGGTCAGCACGGTGCGATAGTTTGTGCCAGAGATCTTCTCCAGGCGGCCGTCCAGCACCATCATCTCCAGCAGCTGCTCCATGTCGTCTTCGCGCACCGTCTTGCCCCGCAGGATCTCCTTGTCGTTGAGCCACTCGGCGACCGAGGCGGACGTGGGGTACTGCGGGCTGTTGCGGTGTACCATCTTGGAGGCTTGGGGGTCGCGCGGCGCATGGTACGGCTTGACGGCGGGGGCGTCCTCGATGTCGCGAACGCCCTGGACCTGGGCCTTCTTGTGGGCTATGTCGGCGCTGCGGTCGGGCC